TAAATTTAGTTTGCAAGCTAATGCCGAGTGATGCAAACTTTCGTAAAAATGTTAATGTATATGAACCCTTCAAAAGAGAAGTATTTATGTACAACGTTCTTGATGACTTCAAAGTATTTCAAACTAATAAAGGAATACAAAATAACCGATTTGAATCATATGCTCTACGATATGCTGCAAGTTCAAAGGAACTTCAAGAATATTTGATTCTTGAAGATTTATGTATTAATTCTTTCAGAATGTTCGACAAAAATTCGAAGTTGGACAATGTTCATATGCGTTTAGTACTCAAAGCATTAGCAGAATTTCATGCGTTGAGTTTTGCAATGCGAGATCAAAAGCCCGAAGAATTTAATAAATATACCCATATTAAAGAAATGTTCACTCAAACTCTTGGAGAAAAGAAGTATTACGAGCTTTGTGATATAGGATTATCAAATGCTTTGAAAGTAATTGAAAATTATGATGATAATTTGGTACCAAAATTGAACAGATTGAGACAAAATTGTTATGAAATTATGAATGATTGTTTTTATGCCAAAAGCTCGCAAAAGTATAGAGTACTGACGCACGGCGATTGTTGGATTAATAATGTAATGTTCAAGTACAAGGTAAATAATATTCAAAATTACTTGAATGTATATATATATATATATATATATATATATATATATATATATATATATTTATTAACTTCCCGAAGGAGAAGTTTATGTTTTCATCCAACAATCCAATTCGCTAATTTTATGTTTTCTCGACGTTTCAAGCTATTCTGAATCGAATGAGACCAAGTTTGAAAAAAGTAAAAGTAGAGAAAAGAAAATTTTAACACTTTATTACAAGAAAACGGCTCGGCCGATCTCTACCAAAAACTAATCAGCACGATTCCCAACCAATATCTTTCGAACAGTTTTTGAATTTTCAAAATCGATTCAGAATTGCGGGCTAAAACGTGGACAATTTTTTTTCACTTTTCTGCTATTTATAAAGAAACGGCTTGGCCGATCGCCGCACACTGAGAAACGCTAGTCTTCATCGAGATACATCGAATGGCTTTCAAAATTTTTGAAATCGGTCCAGCCGTTTTTGAGAATACGTCTATTTACGGCAAAAAATCTGTTCACACACACACACATACTTTTTACAAGTTTGGTCTCATTCGATTCAGAATGGCTTGAAACGTCAAAAAACATAAAATTAGCAAATTGGATTTTTTGATGAAAACATAAACTTTTCCTTCGGTAAGTTAGTAATAATATCATAGAAAATTGCTTATAATAATGAAAATATTCAGTGATATACATGAACCATCAAACAACACCACATTTTAAATATGCATAAATAAAAAAATACATTTACATAATTATATAAACATTTCTAAAATATTCGTTTCTATTAAGAATCTAAATTTGTCACGAAAAATGTCTTAGGTATATATATTTAGTACACTGCCGAAAATTGGATAATAATTATTATTTAATCAAAAAATTAAGTCCCTATAATACTACTCTTTTTTCAAAAATTAAAATTGGATGAATATTATGTTTAACTTGGTATTAATTCAAAATATTATCATTACAGGATCAGATCCCAGTTGGAGTATGCATACTCGATTGGCAATTTTCTCGTTATTCTTCACCAGTAACAGATCTCTCGTTCTTCTTTTATACTAGTGCTGAACAAGAACTACTTTTTCAACATTTTGACAATCTTATCGAAGAATATATAGAACATTTGCATAATACAATTAAATTACTAGGAAGTGATCCAAATGAGATTTATCCTCGGAAGCAATTTCAAAAAGATCTCGAAAGATATTTTAAATATGGTCTCATAAGTTGTTGCCATGTTTTTAAATTTGTTCTCTCTAAACCGGACGAAGCACCAGATATGCAAAAATTGGCCTTGTCGAATAGCAGAGAGTCATTAGAAGAGCAATTCCAATTTATTGATCCTGGTACTAAAAATGAATATGCCAGAAGAATCAGGAATATTGTGAAGCATGCATCTGATAGAAATTTTATATAAATATGTTTAGTTATTTAATTAATAGAGAAGTTATGAATCAACATCAAAATATTATTTTATATTTATTTTCTTATTCAGTTTAATGTCAATGGAATTATGATCAATTATTTCCATTAGACCAAATACGAAGCCTAAACTTTTTTTTAAGATTTTTTTTGAAGGGATTGAAATTATTTCATGAATTTTAAAAAATAATTATTGTTTATATCATGAATATAATTGCAACTGTGTCAATTTCAATTCAATTGCATTTTTTTATGTTGTGGACAAAAATGGTATACTTATTAATAAAATTTATATATTAAATAATTTGCCATTCTTTCATTATATAGTCATTTTTGACCTCTAACTGACTATTTTTTGCAATTAATAACCCTAATTAATTCAATCAAAGGGCAAAGACAATGTTTATTTTGAAAATTTTATAATAATATATTATTATCCATAATATTTTGAAAATTTTATAATAATAATATCCGATAAGTTTGCAACATCAAATACTTGAAATTCAACAAATTTCACTAATTGCTAATGGTTTTAGGACAAAAATGATGTACGAGGAGGATCAAATGAGTACGGTTTGACGATTCTTGAGTGAAAAGTAATTTGTGAATGTAAATTTTATAACAATTATGAAATAGTTCTATATTGAACATGTCAATTGCCAACTACTCATTTTTTGCCTCCAAAGTGACGATTTTAATGGCTTTCCTCGATGACTCCGAAACAAGTTGACCAATCTCTCACAAAAAGCAACCAAATCAGTTCTCTTTTCCTTAAAAGTAGATCTATACATATACAAACACAGGCAAACAGTTTCATGTTTCCAATAAGGTATTTTGATAAGGCATAATGATCCAAAGATATCAACGAAATCGTATCAAGAAATTATCGTCCTGGATTTTTATTAACATTTGCAAGTTTATGAACCCGACACAATTTTTATATCACAATATTGGTTTTGTTCACATATATGTGAACGAAAAGAAATAATAAATAGGAAAGAATCTGCAACTATATATATATAGTTGCAGATTCTTTATGAACTTCCCGTAGGGTAAGTTATTGTAATCGTCCAAAAATCGAAATTGAAAATTTTTACATTTTTTCACGATTTGAAGGTTTCTGAACATTTTGGCATATCTAAGAAAAAATGGATGTGTGTGTGTGTATGTATGGATACAATTTTTCGTTTTTGGGCGCACGGATCAACCGATTTGAATGTTTAAAAAAACATTCGATTTCTATTGGTAGGGAGATGTGCTGATTAAGTTTTGCAAAGGTAGGTTCAGCCGTTTCGGAGATACGAAGCAAAGGATGCAGAAAATAGAAAACGAGTTTTTGAGAGATCGGAGCATCGGATTTGAATGATCCAAAAAAACGTTCAATTTGTAATGATGGGGAGAAGTGGTGGTTAGTTTTTAGCAAAGGCAGGTCCAGCGGTTTTGGAGATACAGAGCTAAATGTGCAAAAAATGGCAGTTTTAGAGAGAGCTAAGCGTCCAATTTGAATGATTTAAAGAACTTTCTGCTTGTTTTAACAAAATAATTGCTTTTTTTTTAAAAAATGTTTTAATTTTTTTTTTCAATTTTTTTTTTCAATTTTTTTTTATAAACCGAAAATAATTCAGATCTCAATTGTAATTCTGACTTAATTTCTAATATACTTTAAACAAATATTTTCAACTTTGCAATTCAGTTTATATAATTCTTATAAATTTAGATAATTTTGCAGTATTTATTTAATCTATTTGAAAACATTTAATATTCTAATAAAAACTGATCACCACTTCTCCCCATCATTGCAAATTGAATGTTCTTTAATCATTCCAATCTGATGTTCCGCGCTTTCAAAAACTCGATTCTTATCTGCGAAATGGTTGGATCTGTCTTTACCAAAAACTAATCAGCGCGTCTCCCCATCAGTAAGAATCAGTACCAATATCCCTTGAATTTTTAAATCGGTTGATCTGTGCGCCCGAAATCGTTGACGAAAAATTGAATTCATACATATACATACACACACCCGTTAATTTTTTCTAAGGTATGCCAAAATGTTCAGAAATATCTGAAATATGAAGATATGCACAAATTTTCAATTTCGATTTTTGGACCTTTCAATAACTTACCCTATGGAAAGTTAATATACGTGTTCAATCAACGTGACATTAAGCAAACAGAAAAATTGATAATAATATTGTCTTAGTAATACATTTATCTCTATATAATTTACAATATATGTGCTTGCAAATATGCACATAACTTACCAACTATTCCACTTTGATTTGATATCAGTAATAAACCAGTACTTGACAAACCAATTCATTTAACGACATATCTAAATTACATAACTTTTACAACACGTTGAGCAAAATGATTCAGCACAACGGAGGCTGATGAGAATTATTTAGTTGACTGACAATGATAGTAATTTATCAAGCGTTTAAATAAAAATAGCCTTGAAAAGGAACATATAAGTACTATCATATTTGCATTTCAGCAGTCGACTGTAAAAGTCAAACTGTAAGAGTTACTGTAAGAATAAACAGATAATCTCTTAAAATTAAAGTACAAAGTCTCAAAAAATTATACTACCACTATATAGAGAACTGTGAGAGTGAATAGATAATCTACCGAAAGTGAAGCAAAAAGTATTAAAAGATTCATACTACTGCTATATAGTGAATTGTAAGAGTGAATATATAACCTACTAAAAGTGAAGCAAAAAGTCTTAAAAATGTTTATTGTAGATTAATAAATTACATTTAAAGTTAAATATATCCACAGTAATTAAAGTAAATGGCGTTATATTTTTTTTTAAATGGTTAAAACCTAAAAGTCGTCAAGACTGGTTTTGAAAGTTTAGTTGAACAAACAAAACTTTTATAATTGGTAGTTAATAAAGATTTAATCTAAGCATATTATAAAAATTTATACCATCATAATATTACAGAGTTTGTCTGTTTTACGTGTAATATATGAAAACAAAACTTAAACAAATACTACATAAAAATTAACAGTTTTCCATATTTTTTTTAACATGGAAGAATTTTCAGAACATGTGCAGGTAGCTCTGAAGCAATTAATAGCTAAAAGTGGCATCAATAATTATGAAGTTAAATTATCACCAGCTTCTAAAAAAGGAGATAATTATTTAGGCACTTTATATAGAGTTGAAATTATTAGTACGGATAACGATAAAGACACCAAGTTAAATTTAATTTGTAAAATTCCATCATCTGATTGGGGCTCCGAAGACAACTGGCAAAAAATTCATATACCATATGAAAGGGAGGTGTATGTTTATAACGTGATCTTAAAAAGTTTTGAAAAATTACAAAATGACAAAAACTTAAATGAAAATCAAAAGTTCGCTTCATATGCATTATGTCATGTTGCCAGCGATGTAAATAAGAAAGAATTTTTGATTTTGGAAGATTTGCACGCCAGAAATTTTGTAATGTTTGACAAAAGAAAAAAAATGGATTTTTCTCACATAACGTTAGTTGCAAAAGGATTAGCTAAATATCACGCATTAAGTTTTGTCATGAGAGATCAACAGCCTGAAAAATTCCATAAAATTACTCAAATCGACTCAGCCATGTATGATATGACCGGTAGAGAAGCCTTTTACGATTTATGCGATTTTGGACTGAAACAAGCCTTGGAAGCAATAGATGACGGAGGTATCACAGAATTTCATGAAAATGTGAAGAAAATCAAAGATAATTGTGAAGAATATATGGAAAGTTGTTTCAATGCAACGGGTTCTGAAAATTATAGAGTTCTTTCACATGGAGATTGTTGGAATAATAATATGATGTTTAAATATCAGGTATGATTTAATTTAATTTGTAAGGATATTACTTTAACTTTTGAAATCAAAAGCTTGAAACATTTTTTAGAAACGGTTTTAACAATTCAACAATGACATTAATAAAAAAGAAGATTTAAATTCAAATGGTTAAAGTGATTGTTAGATGTAATTTTTATACAATTTGAATCGAATCTCTGTAGTAGGGTAAAGCGGGGGCGGGGCTTAAAAGTCCGAGGGTAAAAGTTCCCATCACCGATATCTCAAAAACAAGTAAAATTATAAATTTTTTAACAACAATTTTTTAAAGTAGAGGGCAGAAGATGTATAATCATTCATCGCCTTAAATCAAGCAACATCAGGAGATAAACGAAATAAAGAAAATCCATAGCAAAAGAATTTTCTATCGTTGCAAGCACTGTTGTATTGTTTACGTGACTTTAATATAAATTTTAAGTATACGTTATTTAATTGTTTTATGAAATGTATTGTCAAACGTTTTTATATATAACCCCTATAAAAGCTTACAAATGACAAACTTTACCTTTACCCTTACAAAGAAGTAAACAATAAAAATAGTAAACTGAGTTAAAAAAGACAATTTTACAAAATGTAAATTAAACTATAGTTTATGACTAAACTATAGTTTAGTAGTGTATGACATCGTGCCTTAAGGAAAATTGCTAGAACTTTCCATACCGTAACAAAATGTTTGAGGAATATTAATTGTTTTCAAATAGATTATTATAAATTCTGAAATATCGTCTAATATTTATAAGAATTAGATAAACTAAATTATTAAGTTAAAAATGATTTACTTAAAGTATTTAAGTGAGCTTTAGAACTTTAACCAAAATTAAAATTGAAACCTGAATTATTTTCTATATACAAAAAAAATTTCAAAAACAATTGTTTTGTCAACACAAGCAGAAAGTTTTTTGAATCATTCAAATCGGATACTTATATCTTTCAAAAACTTCCATTTTTTGCACATTTAGTATCTTCGAATTAGCTGGACCTGCTTTTGCAAAAAACTAATCACCACTTCTTCCAATCATTATAAATTGAATTTTTCGTTTCGGATGCTCCTTTCTCTAAAAAACGCGATTTCTATTTTCTGCACTATTTGCTCTTTATCTCCGTAACGGCTGGACCTGTCTTTGCCAAAAACTAATAGGCGCATCTCCCTATCAATAAGAATCTATTGTTTTTTGAACCACTCAAATCGGTTGATCCGTGCGTGAAACGAAATCGTGAACAAAAAAATGCAGACATACATAACATACACACACATTTTTTGAGAAAATGTTCATAAATCTTCAAAACGTGGAAAAATGCAAAAAATTTCATTTTCGATTTTCGGCCCATTACTATAACTACCCTAGGGAATGTCAATAAATTATTATTCGAACTCTGCTAATATTTGTGATAAAATACCAGAACTAGTTTATATACAGATTTATCTCTGCAAAAAATGTATCTACTAATGAAATTTATATTCTGCATTGGTTGAATAAAGTAGCCATTAATTCCTAAAATTGCTTTAAAATTAAAAATAATACATTAAAAATTTTACCTATGAGGTAAAAAGAAACAGATGACAAAGTTTTAAAAAATAGAAAAAAACACATTTCTATAATTAGAAATTAACTGGAAATTTTACTAGATACTAGTTGATTGTTTGACACGTGTAATGCGTTGTGAATTAATTTATTTGGTTTACTAAATTGGACCGTTGTCCCCCGTTCTATCCTATATTATTTTTAATCTTCAAATTATTGCAATTGCTAATCTTATTTTCATCAAAACCTCTTATGATCACATAGTAAAATGATTACAATTCCAAAATTCTCAAATGATATTGTGTTTTAATAATGTGTTTTATTTATTTCACAGGATGGTAAACCCGTTGAAATTTGCTTCATCGATTGGCAAATAGCAAGATTCGTATCTCCTGTATTGGATTTATTATATTTCTTCTACCTCAGTACTGATGAGGACATGCTAAACAATAAAATATGACTTATTTTTAAATGTCTACTATACTGAACTCAAAAATTTTGTTCAACTTTTAGGTAGTGATTTAAATAAATTATATCCGTATGAAATATTTCAAAATGATCTCAAAAAGTTTGGACACTTTGGAGTAGTTTTATGTAGTTTTGCTCTAAATTTCATTTTCGCGAATACTGAAACAGCTCCAGATTTTCAAGACATGACTAATGCATTCGATGGAAATGGATCTTTACAAAAGTGTTTAGAATTTAAAGATTTAGCAACAAAGAAACGATTTCAAAAGATAATGCGAGATGTTATTCAGCATGCAGCAAAAAAAAATTATATTTGAAATTTAAATAAATTTTTGTTATGGATCTAGGTATCGATCTGTCCATAATTTAGTTCAAATATCTAAGCAAACTTTTGTGAGCTAAAATCGTGCAATTATATATCATTTACACAAACCAACATTCATTTATCAAATACACAAATTCTAATATCTAGCAATAAACAATAATGTTGATATATATAAAATTATAAATTGTTCTATAGATAATAGTAAGATTATTTTATAAAAATGTAACAATATTGTTAACATAATTATGCAAAGATACTACTGGCGTAATGATCGAAAAAGAGTACATCTTGTACAGACATTTAAGTAAAAATAAAAATAAATACATCATATAACAATTTTGAATAATGTTCATTAGTGATATGGTAACACTCGTGATGCACATATTTATAAGTGTCAACCATTATACACATTTATATAATGATAAATTATAAATATTATATTTTTAATAGCATTAAAAATATGAATAATATTTAAAAACAATCATATAATTAAAGTCATATATAATTAAGTTCAAATATGACATGATCGGTTTGTCATTGTAATTAGCATTTAGAAATGAACCTTCATTAGAGAAATGAAGTAATTGCTGATTAATAACTTCTTTAATATTCATTCACACAGTGGATTATGTAAAACAACGCCTAAACAAATATTTTTTTCGCAACTTCACTCATCATGTAATTGTGTTTGAATAACTTCATGTAATTAAAATTAACATACATTCATTGACTGATGGTATTTTTTTTTACTTTTTCGCTGGCGATATAATCTCTTTCTTTGATCAGCTGTAATATCTGTTTTGCCTAAAACATATTTTCCATTTCAATAACTTCAAACATTTAAAAAAACTACGAATAATATAGAAATAATTGCAATAAACTTATGTTTCATACACGGCGCCAATGCTGCATTTGTTTTATTGTAATTATTTACGAGGGACAGGGTAAAATATTCTTCTGATTCAGGCATTTTTCATTAATGTAATTTTGAAATGTTTATTTATCTATGCCGATTTCCTTGTTGATATCGGTACGCATACAACGTCGAAGAGAGTACGCATACAACGACAGATCTCTATTTACATACACGACGACTAATCACAATCGACCTGTATAAAAATGATATCATCGAGAGCGAATGACGAATCAATGGCAATCTACTCTTATCTTATCTTATGTGCCGTAACGCACATCTGTTGCATTTGTACGGATTAACACTCTAGTCGCGCCTAAAGAAGTTTTATTCCAAAAATCCGCAGCAATGTAAAATAACTAAAAAAATACTATCGTCGATATTATATATTTAATGTCATTTATTATTATTTTGCATTTATTTTAATGTATTCACAAGAAATTTTTTTGTAATATTTCTTTATTATCAACAATTACATGGCAAATCTTCATTTATCATCAAACTCATGAAAGCGCTTTGATAACAATGACTTAGCATTTCGTAGATAATAATTAAACACTGTGTAAATATAAATTAATTGTCACAATTACTAAGCATATCGTCAACTATATCTATAATCACTGTAATGAATTATATTCCAAGTTTTATACTAGGTACAAAGTTTTGGGTATAAAATAATGACTAATATTTTTTTGATTATCAACTATCATGTTCTGAATATGAGTGCCTTTGTTTAAAACTATCATGTTTCTGAATATGAGTGATGCTTGTTATAAAAGTTATTGCAACTTTATTTGAAGTTATATTATTTTTCTATAAATTATTCTTTTGCATTTTAAGTGTTTGTAAAATTATATCAACTCTAGGGGAGCTAGGGTTTGATTGTAACAGTTTTTGTTTCAAATTAATATATCTTGTGATCTGCTGAGCTAGATTGCAGTATCATTCCGTTAACAAATCAAAAATAATTCTACAACTTTTCTCATTATTTCATGAATGATCATTTTCTAGAAAAAATACGATGTTACCCCCCCCCCAGTGTTTGGGGCTAGTTCAAAGTGTGTTCAGACAAGTAGTAAAGATACAATAACGATAATTTATTTTTCAATTAATTTTTAGAAAATTGATTTGTTTCTATGTAATTTTTTTCATAAATGCACGCGAATTATAATGAAAATAAATAAAATGTCTCTTATAATACATTTTCATCATAAATCAACGTAAACTGCAACTATTTCATAATATTTATAAAAGACATCTTTCAAAATAGTTTACATTTGTCAATATCTTACAAACCAAATTTCACCCAGTTTCACTTGAATCTGGATAATCCTTGTCTGTTAAAACTAGCCCCGAAGCTTTGTTTCAACTAACCCCAAGGGTGATTTTTTCACATTACTCATAAAAAAATATTTTAATATCTTTAAAGATTCTATTGAGAAACGTTTGTTATTAATTAGCCTCTAACACTCGTACATATACTTTTATAATTCAAAACCTCATCATCAATCATAATTCATGATAGGATAAATAGATTAGACCAATGTATGAATGTAGAAATAAATAACGTATAATAATGACTTTTTAATAAATATATACTATGTATAAATATTTTGTACGGTCCCTTATACTAGAAATTTCTGCCATAATAAGATATACAAAATGTATTAAATTTGAAAAAAAAAATTGACAACACTAAAGAAATGTTCTTCAAATAAATTCTTTTAAGAAGCGTAAAGATAATCAAGGAAACATGTAAATATATGAAAAAAAAATCCGAAAAAAGTTTCATGAATTTTTCAAGTTGATATAAAATATCAATAAAAAAGTGTTCATCTTTCAAATAAACATGGACCATTAGATTATAAAACACTACATTATTTTCGTCAATAAAAAAGAGGTGTCAAACTCGAGGTTAGTTATGTCTCTACAGCTCGGTAGATGTTTAAATAATATAAATTGAAGTTAATTTCTACTAATTCTTTTAAATTTTGAGGTTTTCGATATCGAGGATATTATGACAAAACCAAAAAAGTATTTTAAGTGCACGGCATCATGCCTTAAGGCAAATTGCTGGAACTTTCCGTACTGAAAATTAAAAATTTTGAAAGAGCTTTAAGCTAAATACATTTTTGACTATTTTGTATTTTTTTTAGAAAATCTGACTTGAAAAATTTGATTTTTTTTTAAATACTCAATTTTTTTAAAGCCAACGCGATACGTAGCTGTTGTATGGCTGGCGCGTAAGCGCCGTGTCGCACTCTAAGGTAACGTTATAAATTCTGGTACGGTACCTATATAAATGTAAACAAAATGTACTAATTATTAAATTTTCTATAATTTATCTCATTGGATCTGCATAACCGCATTTCATTCTTTCATTTCATCAATACAAGTAAAATGTTTTTTGAATCATTCAAATCGGAGGATCCATTCTCTTAAAAACTGAATTGCCAGTTTTGGCACTTTTGGGTCCGTATCTTCGAAACGGCTGAACCTGTCTGTGCCAAAAACTATTCGACTTGACTCCCAATCAATAGGAATCGAATCTGAATAATTCAAATCGGTTGATCCGTATTATCGAAATCGTCGACGAAAAATTGTATCCAAACATGCACACACACGTACATCAATTTTTTATAAGGTATGCCAAAATATTCAGAAACCTTTGAAACGTAAAGATACATAAACTTTTTCATTTTCGATTTTTTGCAATAACTATAACTTCACTAAAAATCATACATTTCAAAATGTGGAAAAGCCACATAAAAACAAAAAAGCAGCAAATAATGATCAAAATGAAAAAATTTGATTGACTATTGCGTAAAAAGTCTAAGCTCTCTGTTGAAAATAAGTTGCTGCTATATAAATCAATTATTAAACCAATCTGGACCTGCGGAATTGAGCTCCTGGGGATGTGCTTACAAATCTAATATAGCTATAATGCAGAGAACTCAGTCAAAAATTTTACGTACAATTCTTAATTCTCCGTGGTACGTGACAAATGAAACCATTCACAGCGACCTCAACATGAAAACGGTGCAATTAACGTTCAAAGAATTCAAGGAAAAATACAAGCGCAAACTGGACTCATATTCGAACCCATCTATAGTTGACATTACTCAACCTTTTGGCATGAGGAGATTGAAACGACAATGGCCTTTAGACTTAGTCTTAGATTAGGTCTAATATAATATCATATTAATTGTAAAACTAAGAAGTTCTCATTGGAGTTCTTCTTAGGCATCGCTCTTAAATATTGTCATTTTAGCTCATAGAAATCTTTATGTATTTCAGATTGCTAAATAAAACTGAGTTTAAAAAAAAAATCAAAATCATTGTTTTCAGATTCATTATTTTTAATATCGATGCTATATTATTCATTAGCCTCCAAAAAAATTAAATCGCCGCTTGTAGAGTAGTATTGTCAGTATCGAATCAAGGAATATCTTATTAGATTGTGTAACGAAATTGAAGGCCATATCATACAGCATACCTACATCATTTATAAATTCTGTCAGTAACGCTCGTGCTATTTTCAAATCAACACATATTCTATCAAGAGCTCGTATCTGATAAAAGAATTGGTTTTAATAGAGTAAATCACTTCTTTAATACATAAATACTCATATTAATGATTCGTATAACATAAAAACAAAGTGCATCTTAAAATGTTTATTTTATAAATTACTCTTGAACAAGAAATGTAAATAATTGTATACTTGAAGAGACTGGGCAAGAAAAAGAAAAAAACAAGTAATGTACAGATAATTCAGAAAATATATACTTTTATTCTTTTTGCAACTTTTGTGAAAACGTTTGAGAACAAAAAATCTGTTAAATAGTACCATTTACCATATATTGCTTACAATTAGTTCCCGTTAAAGTTGAAGTAATTGTGCAAAAACTGAAATGAAAACTTTGGCTCACCTTTACTTATCAGATGTTTCTGAACATTTTGACATATCTTAGAAAAACAGACATACTCGTATGTCTGTGTGTGTATGTATGTGCGGACATAATTTTTCGTTCACGATTTCGGGCGCACTGATCCATCGATTTGAATGATTCAAAAAATATTCGATTCCTGTTGATAGGGCTGATTAATTTTTGATAAAGACGATAAAGAAGATTTCTGACTTAAAATACAATAGTTCGTTAGTTTTTGGTATATACATATATTGCAATAATGTTGGCACGCATGTAGATGGAGCAGTGAAGTTAAGAAATTTCCGTATTTTACGTTTGTCATATCATATTTACATTATATTAAATCTAGTTTCACGGTAAAAAAAGTTAAAACTAGTGGTGTATGGCATCGTGCCTTAAGGCAAATTCCTGGAACTTTCCGTACGAAAAATTATTTTTTAAAAAAGATCAAATATGTTTTAAATTTTGAAAAAAACTTTTGTTTTTCTGCGATTACTATAACTTGCCCTATGGGAAGTTAAAAATTATGACCAATTTCATTAATACATTTTGTTGCCCAAAAATTACATATTTTAATATGCTTCATTTGTTCAATTTTTTGTCAATTGCTCGACTTTAAGTGCGCTTAGGTACTAATTGCCATGAGTTACATTTCAGACTTTTGATATTATTAAAGTATTCCATGAAATTTATAACTATTATATCAACCAATTATTTATTAGAAGTGAAAATATTTCGAACATTTTGCATACAATGAACTGCTTTATTTTTATATATTATAATTTTAAAAACGTTTTGAAATAATATTGTAGATCTAAACAAAATCGTTGCGGCTATATCAAACAAGTTTGTAAATCACTACTTAACAGGACAAAACTCTATATTGTGTAAAAAAGTTCAGGTTTTAATATAAATATATAAATAGATAAAGTATAACAGATTTGACATATATATAGATAGTCAATACAAATTAAAGATTTGCTGAATCGAATCGACTGTATCAAACAAATATGCATATATACATATACATACATACATACAATTCACATAAGCAAATTGCAAAAAAGTTTGGCATCGACTTTTGGCAAATTCAGTAATTTATTCTAAAAATTTTCAAATTATTTTATTAGCCAATTCAGTTTTCAGTTTAACAATTAATGGCTCTGCATTTTAATTATTAACTTTATATTATAGGGTAAAAGTATGGCGTTACTACAAGATCATGTACAAAAGGCGGTTCAGAACATCATTCTGGAACAACAAATAACTAATTATAACATAGAAGTAACACCAGGTTCAAATGCAGGTGATAACTACGGAAGTACTATATATCGAATACAAGTGAAAGGTAGAAGAAGTAATGGAGATACTACCTTAAGCCTTATTTGCAAAGTGCCAATAGCAACTTGTAAGGTATCACAATCTTTGGGCTTTAAAAGAGAAATACACACCTATAAAAATTTGTTAAAAGACTTAAAGCAGTTTCAAGAAGAAAAAAAAATCCAATTTATAGATGGTTTTAATACTTCCATAAAATGTTATGATGCTGACGACACAATTGGTAAGGAATACATAATCTTTGAAGATTTAAAACCACAAGGCTTTACAATGCTGGCTAAAGATGTCTATATTGACAAAATCCACGCACAGCATGTGGTAAAAGAATTAGCAAAGTTTCATGCTATCAGCTTTGCAATGAAAGATCAAAAACCCAAAGAATTTAAACGGTTATCAAATTTACCAGAAGTTATTTTCGAAATTATAGGAGAACAGCCACTTAACAATTTGTGCAAATTGGCTTTAGAAAGAGCATTGAACTTGTGTGCAGAAACTATAAAATGATATTCAGAACCTACTAGACAATTTGCCTGATATTCTGAGAACAGTATGAGTGAAAAAGGATCGGAAGATTATTTAGTTATCACTCATGCAGATTGCTGGAAAAATAACATGATGTTCAAATACGAGGTAATATTCATTTTTTATTTTCAATTATAAAATTACACAGACTTGCAGTTAATTCCGTAAATTTACTGTAATTTTTCTTCAAATTTGAACTAAACTATTTGAACTGAATCTGTAAGTTTTACATATATTTTATTGATGCTAAAATGATGAATTAATTTGCAATCACTGTGAAAAATGACTAATAAAAGGGCATGCGAGACTGCAAAAGCAAGGTTGCCGCAGGTTGATTTCAAATTTGTTCAGATTTATTATGAATTGCAGGCGCCGTTTATCCCAGCTTTTATCAATTATATTATAACTAGATGACCCGACAGACATTGTCCTGTATCCACATCTACATTTTTTAATATCCTATACTAATATTTCCCGTTCAGTTTAAAATAATAATTATTGTTTTTCGAATTACTATTTGCACCAATATATAAGTGATGTTAAATGTAGAACTGCTTCAAATAAAATTATTTTCAATTCCCACACTTAACACTTTAATTACCCCTTCAACAAATATTAAAATATGTTCAATAAAATTGTATATTATATATTATACATTGCAATTTATAGAACAAATTTATTTCCAATAGCTCAATTTATTTAATGCCAAGGATTATCCAATATTTTTAGTCATACCTGTAGATTGGATGTATAAATGAATGATTTTTGTTTATTCACGACTAAAACATTGATTTTTCAAATTTATTACACAAAAAATCATCGTCTGCCTTTGTGATTTATAGCATAAGAGGATGATGAAGTATTTTAACAGTATAACAAATTTAGAAAGAATTAATATATAGCATTCGCGGTAAGGTACAATATCACCTTGAATTTTTCTACCCAAATAATTGCTTCAATAATGTTGCTTTGTATTTTTATAATTTTGTACCATATTTTAACTGGCTTTTAGTAATTTTAATATCTAAATTACATTTTTCTCACTAATAATTCAATATACATTATTTCTTGAGTTAATATTTGAGTGAATTAATTTGTCAAATCCTGTTCACATGCGCTCCATTCAACTTACGATCAACAAATTATTGCAGTAAATAGAGAGAAAAAAACGTGCGCCTTTCAAATTTTTTACTGTGCTCCAATTTGCTTGATATTTTGGAAATAGGCTAATCTTAATCTTAAGTTCAGAAGCAAAAACAATTTGCATTCCTTCACCACCCCCGGCATTAATTGGGTCATTTAATTCTAATTTTAATCAGAACTTGTAATATACTATTTTAAAGGTAATTAAATGAGTTACAACTTTCTCTATCATAATTTTGCCGTAACTTCTCTTATATTGAAACGGCGAAGGATTAAAGGACTCGAAGACACTCTGATTGGACAGCCGCGCACTCTTTAAACAATCATAGCTCTATCAATATTTGTGTAACAGAAAAATAATAAAAGCAATAATTAGCCGAAAAAGACCTTGACTTTTTATCTATGTACCTTTATACGTATCTTTTATTCTGTCAGAGATATAATAATGAGAAATTGGTTGTTTTTTTTAAATAGATTTTTTATCATCATGACCTTTTTGAAAATCGTGTGTACTAAAGTTGTGGTATTTTCTAGAATTCTAGATTTAGGAAAATCTAAATTAAGAACATACGAGTAATAGTTTAGGAGGATTGATCTTTCATACCCCATTACAAAAGAATTTTATATATATACATATATATAAGATATACAAAATTCTATACCAATCGCTAATTCTCAAATTTGAATATACTCAAATTCAGAAACCAGAAAGATTTAAGCATATTTTTGAAACAACATCTTTATCTTGAGGCTTTTATAATTTATTACTTAGCTATACAACTGATGGCACCACTTTGATTTGCATCTAAATTTGACTGTACCAATATTAGAAAATTTTAATGTTTGTATACAAATGTGTGTGTTTGTATACAAATGTTTAATGTGTGTTACAAATAAATCGAAAACCAAAGTGATATTGGATTAAAACGTTGAATTCACAATTTGTCGATAATAAGAATTTAAAAAACGTCAATAGATTATTATGAATATTTTTAAGTGCTTCGTATACTTCCTTGTGTCTGTAAGCTGATAATTTGTAGACGTACATAATGGTAATTTTGGTTTTGTTTTTCTAAATAATTTGAGTCAGAAGACTGATAGATAGTAATATAAGTCTTTGAATCATTACATGAAATGTTCAAATATTCACCAATAATTATTTTAAATTCTTATTATAGAATGGCTGCCCAAAAGAAATGCGTCTGTTCGACTGGCAAATAACACGTTTAGCTTCACCCGCCATGGACTTATGTTATTTTTTCTACATAAGTGGTAACGACGAGTTAATCGAACAGCACTTTGATAATCTGATGGAGATATACTACGAACAACTCAAAAAATCCGTAAAATTACTGGGAAGCGACATTACCCGCCTGTATCCCCGATCGATTTTGGAAACTGATCTCAAGAAATTTGCTGGATTTGGAATTATATTTTGCATATTTGGAATGAATGTACTCCTTGCTGAAACTCCTCCTGATATGGGCGATATGTTTATTAAAGCAAGCGAAGAAAATTCAGAAATGAATGCCTCAGTAATCTTAATGCCGAAGCACAAGAAAAATTTGCCAATAGAGTCAATATTATAATCAAACAAGCCAAAGTAAAGGGTTTGTTTACATAATACAAATAGCATTTAGAAGGTTTAGAAAGGTTTAATAATAACTAATTTTGTACATAAGATAAGTGAATATTAATAATGATATTATGATTTTTCATTTTATTGGGCGCGTCGAATTTGAAAAATTTGCTTTGACATTGAACAAGAATAATTTCTTAAAATCAATTAAAATATTGCCATTCAATTGATTTCACAGTCTAATATATCATTGAGATTAATACAATTGTAGAATTTAAAAAAAATTATTTGACCAAATAAATGCAAAATTCCAATTTGAAACATTTACATCCAATATGCAGAGTAGGTATATCTACATATTACTAGAAGACTATCAATAGCGCTTATATGACACTGGCTTTGAAATTTGACAATATAATTATGAAGATCGATCAATTAAATATTTAGGAATTAAATATTTAAATATATCAATTTTTAGTTTATTTCCTGCATTTATTTTTAACTTATTGTTATCAATAAAGTATAAATAAAGACTGTTAATTTGCTAATATAATCTCACAAATTTTTTCATATAATAGTTTAAAATATGCACTATATATATTCTTTTGCTTCTCATGGTTTATAATCATGAAAAAATGTTCTTCTGCGGCAAAAAATTGCTAATTATATAGGCTCATCCCATTGCATCTACATGCAATAAAAATACATATAGTATTCGTACATGTAGTGTTCGTTTTATATGTACACATTACATTTTTTAAATGAAAGCATATTTTAAATCACTGCCTTCATTGTTAATCAATAGTGCAATAAACTAATTAATTAATATATATATATATATATATAAGTT